AAGAACTGAAATCAGGGTCTCAAAGAGATATCAGCACTCCTACGTTCACTGCGGCTCTATGCACAAGAGCCAGATGTGGAAACAACCTAGGTGTCCAACAGATGAATAAAAAGAAAGAAAATGAGGGATGTACATACAACGGAACTCTATTTGTCCTTTAAAAAGGGGAAATTCTTCAATATGCGACAACATGGAAGAACCTTGAGGACATGGTATTAAGGAACTATCCAATCACAGAAAAAAACTAATACTGCCTGGTTCCACAGTGATGAAGTATCTTAAAAAGTCAAATTCATAGCAATAGCCCTAACCGGTTTGGCTCAGTGGATAGAGCATCAGCCTGAGGACTCAAGGGTCCCAGGTTCGATTCCGGTCAAGGGCATATACCTTGGTTGAGGGCACATCCCCAGTAGGAGTGTGCAGGAGGCAGCTAATCGATGTTTCTCTCTCATCGATGTTTCTAACTCTCTATCCCTCTCCCTTCCTCTCTGTAAAAAATCAATAAAATATATTTTAAAAAAATTCATAGCAATAAAGAGTGGAACGGGCATCAAGTTTGCATCAAGCAAGATGAATACGGTCTAGAGATCTGCTATCCAACACTGCACCTGTAGTCAACAATACATACTGTACACTCAGAAATTTGTTAAAAGGGTAGGTCTCGTGTTAAATGTTCTTTAAATTAAACATTTAAATGTTAAATGTTCCATATTAACATTAATTTTTAAGGGGGGGGGGACTTCACAAACCATTTCCACTGTGCCCAGCAAAAGGGAAAATGTCTGTTTTGCTCCTCCCCAAATGGCTAAGGCTTAGAGACAAAATGTTCTTCCTCTCCCTGAATCTCACCCCATTACTACCACCTCTTTCTTGTGATGCACCTTGAACAAAGAAAATGGAAACTCAAGTCTCTCATCAGGAGTCTGCCCCAGTGATGCTAACAGAAAATGCAAGGTCAGGCGCGTTAGGAAGAGAAGAGGCAAACTCTCGAAATGATTTTTTTAAAACATCCCAGTAGCCCAAACCCGAGGATTCCTTTTGTATGTCTATCTCCAGTTATCATACCACATATAAAAGGGGGCTAATGATACTATTAGGATTTAAAGCTATTAAGTTAATTAATGTCAAGTGCTGGATTGCTGAGTTAGATATGGGACTGCTGAGTTTTATATCAACGCTGAACGAATTGGAAAGATTCTAAAGAGACCAACTAAAACAGTGATGCAAGCCAGTGGCACTCTGCCTGGAGAATTCCTGGAGACTACAGAACTTCCAGATGCAAAAAGCGGGGAATCAAAAAGGGCTGAGCAGTCGGCCAGAAACCTCCGAATGCGGATGAAATAGACCAGTCATTCTGAATAGTCAGTATTCCTAAGTTCCCCCTCAGAGGCCCTCGAAAGATGCAGGGTCCTGAGCCTGCTCCCAGGGGTTCTGATGCAAGTGGTCTGGTGTGAGGCCTGGGAATCTACGTTATAATAAACATCTAGGTTATCTCTGGGCTGATGGTCCAAATCCACACTTTGACAAACATGACCGCCTTTCCCACAAAGTTCTATTCAGTGGCTTTGCTTGTGGGTAATGAACACTTCTCCTTCAGCACGAGACTGAAAGGGAAGAAGTGGAACTTTAATCTTTAAGCTCGGTAAATGCTCCGGATAATTAATAGAGACTGGTTACTTGCTGGAAAATGAAGTATTCATCTACACACACACCATGGGTTGGGTAAAAAATAAATTATGTTTAGATGATTTAATGTTTCTCTGAGATGAAATAAATTCAATGGCTGAGTGAAAGGCAATGGGCAAACTATCTATCACCTGAAGTTAACGGCTAAGCTAATATTTCAACCACCTATCTTGAAAGGGAAGCTTGGGCCAAGAACATAACAGGACAACTATATTTAGAAATATAACCCAGGAAGGGTTAAATACAATCACATCTGAAAAAATGGCTATTGCTACTCCACATAAACCCGGAAGGAGGTGGTGGGGTCCAAGGTGGCCTAATATTTTCAAAAATAACTTGAAAGATGGAGTGGGGATTATGCAAATCAAACCACAGATGATGCAAAAATGGCAGCAATCAGGAATCTGTGGAGAATAAAATTTAACTATTGGGCAATGTCTTTAAAATTGCCTTTATTGAATCCTATAGATTGAAGTCACATATTATTATATGTCTTTACTGAGACTCAATAGGGCCAAATGCAAAGTGATTTATGGACAAAGAAATGATCAAACGCATAAGTAGAAAGGAGCACAATACAGAGAGGCATTCGCTACTTCTGACCGTGTGGGAGTCACGGGCACACAGTGCAATGGGGCGGTCAGATATTTCTACGCTCTACGGATGTGGGTGGCGTTAAGAAGTGACATGTAAAATAAACAAGGAGACGTGTCTGTTACTCTTTCAGCCAAACAGCTTGGCGCTACTTCCCCTGGGAGTGCTGGAAGGAAGGGAATGGAGAGCAGGCTGTCGCAGAGGTTATGGGACGTACCCCAGGTAAACTGAGAACACAAGGAGAGGTTAAGAGCGCCTCCAGAACAAAATGCTCAGTGTACCTGTTTGGAGGGGAAAGATGCACAAAAGATAAGGGAGCCTAGAGAAGAGAAACGTTTCAGTTCCTCTTAAGGAGAAACAATCATTCCAAGCGCTATTAGAAGCATGGAAGAAAGGTCAGCTTATGGTAACACCATCCCTGGGGAATTCAAGGAGGTGACCAGACACCTCTCTACTTAGGATGCATTAGAGATTATTAAAAGCATTCCTTGCTGAGTACTGGGGTGCAGAGTGGGCCTCATGACCTCTCCAAAGGTCATTCCTATCCCAAAGGATCACATGTCTGAAGGGCACCAGATAAAAATAAAGTCTATTAATCACTGAGCTGCCACACAATTTCCTAAGAGAGCCAGAAAGAGAAGGGCAATCCAGGGTGGACCTTACTCCCCTGACAGAGGAAAGGGAGGCAGTGCCTGTGCAGGCAGAGCCAAGAAGTCCGACAGGGAGACTTCCAGAAAGCCCACATTGGGCCTGTAATCAGGCCTCCAAGTTCCACAGCATAAACAGGAGGAAAAGACCCGGTGGGGAGGGAACAGGAAAAGCAAATGGCACTGAGAGCCCTACACAAAGCCACCGGAGCTGGGGGAGAGGGTGTGATGCAAGCACTTTGTGCAGAGAGAGGGGGCCGGGCAAGAGAGGGACACCATGAGGGCGCTTTGTGGAGGCAGATGACAAAGGAGTGAGGAGAGGGGCTGAGAGGAGGTGAAGGACACATGGTGTGTCTGGGAATATAGGGGCCTATCATTGGCTGAGAACCCGATGAAAGGTGTAGTGATCGAGCAAAAAGTAATTCCACTATCTATGGCAGCACAAAAATCACGTAATAAAAATAAAGTTTTTCAAAGAGGAAGCACAAGGCAAAGCCCCAGTTCCAAAGCAGCTGCTGGCACTCTTGTTGGCAACTGGCTGGCACAGTCAGAAAGCCCGTTCTGGGGGGGCCTGAGGACCTCCCCAGGGCCAGCTTGGGCTTTGATGAACCCCATTTAGGAGGCAAGACCCAGGCCAAAGCAGGTACCTCCTGGTATGGCAAGAAGGATCAGGCCCCAGGCCCTGCTCTCCCCTCATCCTAAAATGGAGTTGCTTTGGGATAGAGATGTTACCCGCAGTTGTGTCACGAATGTCATCTGCAGGGTGTGTTCAGAAGCCAAGTGGATTAACCAAAGAGCTTATATACTAGTACATATATGTGCAACCCATGGACACAGACCATAGTGCGGTGCAGGCCTGGGGGTGGGGTGGGGCAGACCTGAGGTGGAGCGGGGGGCATCTGTAATACTTGCAACAATAAAGATAAATTAAAAAAAAAAATAAACCGAGTAAGAGTCATGGAGTTGGTCTTCTAGCAAAATGTTCTCCAACCAGCTGTCACCTCACTGGCCACAGAACAACTTCTTGAAATCAAGAGTCCAGTGAAGAAGGAGGGAAATGGCACCACCTCCAAAGTACCCGCTAAGCCCCATCTTCCCAGTTCTCCCCCTGCTCTCACAGAGACTGCAAACGCTGGCGAGATGGGCGGGACGCCGGGAGGGACCGCTGCACCAGGGCCCTGCCTCAGCCACGTTGCGGCCATTCTCACCGCAGCACGTTGCACCCAGTGGCAGAGCTCGGCATCCTCAGAGAGGGGAGGAGATGGAAGGGAAGATGGTCAGGGAACGCGGCTCTGCGTGCTGCCCTTGCCATGGAGTGAGCAGATGGCGCTCGATACAGTGAGAAGATAACCAGGGCAGGGGTTTTAAACCCACCATCCCATGCTCGGGCAGGTGAGGAAGACAAAAGCCCTCCAGCTGACAGCTAAGCCTCTACCTCGGACACCAGTCCCTGGTCCCCCCACCACCACGGCCCCCGGCACTCTCTCGCTCGGTCCTCCCCAGCTCTGCCTGCAGACCCCACACCCAGGAGCCAGGCAGCCGCTTGTCCAAAAGATGTTTCTGAATCAGGCAAGAAAGGCTGGAGATGGATCAAGGGCCATTTATTAACTAAGTGATCATCAGAGAAAGAGTCATAACTTGCCCTATGTAGGACAGGAGGAAGAGAAAAAGGAAATTAAAGGGAAACAAATGACAAACCACCGGAACCAAGTACTTTTGTTGGAGGATTCTGAGTTATGCTTTTGTTTGTAATTCTCTGAAGTCGAGAAAGAAATGGGGATCTGACGGAGACAGAGTGAGAGAGACAGAGAAAAGCTACAAAGAAGGGAGGGGTACTGCCAGAGAGAGGAGCACAGCACCCAAGGCCTCCCACTTGCTCTCCTCACGCAGAAACATGAGGGCAGAGAGGAGGTGGTGACTGAGGGGAGCTGCAGGCATGAGAGCTGGGGTGCGGGCCCCAGAGGAGGAGCCAGCAAGCCTGGGCTGGGGGCTGACAGGCGGGGTGCACAGGAATGGTGGGGACAGGGGTAAGGGCAGGGGCAGGAGAAGGAAGGCAGTGTCGCCTGTACTTACTGTCACAGACGTAAGGTTTGTCGTGGTCTTCCTGAGAGGCGGGGTCATGCCTCCTCCTGCCACCAGCAGAGCCACGGGCCTGGGGAGACATGGGGTATCACGATGCTGTTACTCTGGTCATCGCCACAGGCCCTGAGCATGTACTGTGAGGCCCCGAGTGCTCCCCTGCAGCTCCTCGTTCCCTTTCACCACATCTGTGCCCATGCCAACCCCCTTTCACAGGCCAGGAGACTAAGACCCAGAGAAGTGAGGTAACTTACCCCAAATCGCTCAGCTACTCACATATCCCAGAGGGAATCACTACTATGGGCTCCACTTAACAGATCAGGAGACTGGGGCAACTGGAGAGGGTAGGCAGCTTGTGTACGGCCACTCAGCTACTAGGTGCAGAGCCAGGACATTAACTCAGGACAGTCCCGCCGCAAAGCCTCTACTGACCAAGTGTCCTTACTCTCCTGTTGCTGGTAGGACCTCTTCCTCCAACTCCTTAGCCTTGCAGCTCTGTTGCTACCAAATGGAGATGCCAACTGGCTCCCCTCAGCTGGCCAGATGATGGGCGTGTTGGAGCAAGTAGCATAATTACCGTTATCAGGCCAAGCCCCTTTGTTCACACTCCCCCACTCAGGTCTCTCAAGAGCCAGCCAGGCCTGGCATCAGGGCACAGGGCATGCGCCCGGCTCAGCCAACTCCAGAGGGGTGGGCTTCAGCTGAGGCCTCCCTGTGTGGTCTGCCGTGAGCCTCCGGCCAGTGACAAAAACCTTGGCTGCTCATGGCCTCCTGAAGCTGGACCGCTGATACCAGCACCCGTGTGCACCTCCAGAAAGAGTCGGCATAGCCTGGGCAGGGGCGGGATGAGCTCGACCTCGAGGCGAGAAGAGACCAGCTAGAGAGGGAGCGGGTGGCTCTGCGGCCCCGGGACAGTAGCTGTAAGAATGCAGCAAGGTTTATTTTTAAAACTTGAAAAGTCCCACACTGGTCACGTGTGTAGCACCCTAGCCTCCTCAGGGTCATTCTCTGGTAATGAGTAGCAGTAAACTCCCAACCAGGAAGGGCCTGCCGGGTCTTTGGGGACAGAGAGAGACACAGCAGATGAGACGTAAAATGGCAGCAACCTGGAATGCAGGGAAGATGGGGCAGTCCCAGGGGCCTAGCCGGGAAAAGTAGCCCTGAGGACTTCAGGGTCAAAGGCCTGAGATGGTTGCTTGTGTATGCATGCTCACTCTCTCTTTCTCCCCCCCATCCCACCTCTCTCTCTTTCTTTCTCAGTCTCTCTCTCTCTCTCTCTCTCTCTCTCTCTCTCTCTCTCTCTCTCCTAACCACACACACACACACTTCACAATCAACACCACCTGGCAAGCAAATTACAAAATCCCACCCCCCTCCTCCCTCCCTTCCACTGCTCTTTCCCTCCCTTTGCCTCCCAGCCCCTCACCCCTATACACATGACAGCCAGCAGCCCCCTCCCCTCACCCTCATTACTCAGTTGACCCAAAGGGGGAGCTGTGAGGTGCACTAGCAGTCACCCTGAGGCACTGACAGGCTTCGCAGCCTGCCCATGACACGAAGGGTGGTCACCCTCAGCTGCCCTTGCCCACCCCCACCCCACCCACACACACACACACACACACACACCCTCGGTGAAGCCAGGGACAGCTTGACGTGTGCAGCCCGCAGCCGTCACAGTCGCCTGGGAGTAGGTGAAAGCAAGTCAGGCAGAATGACGAGGCAGCAGCAGTCCCAAGAAAGGGGCGCTTAGAGACTAAAAATACCGGCAGGGACAGGAGGCGCTTTGCGGAACTGGAGGCTCAGAGGGGAAGGGGAGGGCCCGGCTGAGAGCCAGGGTTTCATTTCACTCTGCAGGGCTGACCAGCCAGGTGACTACAGGCTCCCACACTCTCCCTGCACCTCAGTTTCCTCAACTGCAAAAAGGGGGGGTCATAGCTATAGAACACTGAGAGCACATGACAAGGATTCTTCTTGGCACTAGCTCTCTAGTCTCCCAGAATAGCTCAAACTTGGAAACTCAGAATCCTACTCATCTTATTCACATGCCACCTCTTCAAAGAAGCCCTCCCTGATCAACTTATTTTTTTTAATATATTTGTATTGATTTGAGAGAGAAATAGAAACATCAATAATGAGAGAATCATGGATTGGCTGCCTCCTGCACACCCACATTGGGGATCGAGCCCACAACCCAGGCATGTGTCCTGACCGGGAAACGAACCATGACCCCGTGGTTCATAGGTCGACGCTCAACCACTGAGCTACGCCAGCTGGGCTCCCTGATCAACTTCTGTCCACTCGTACCCTCTCCATCGTTCTCTTTCCCCATCTTGCTTTCTGTTTTATCCCACACTTAACATTGTCTGACATCTTATCACACACGTGTTGGTTTACTTGATTTTCTTGTCACCCCCATATGAGGGTGGAGCACATGTCTATTTTAGCCACAACTGTCCTTGGAACCTGGCATGGGGCCAGCCATTCAAGAAGCACTTAATAAACACTTGCTGAAGAAATGAATCAATCAATCCGTGGGTGGATCAGTATGTCCATCATCTTTGGTTCTTCTCTTTTATCCTCTATATCCATGTGCTATTGTTCCTTCCTTCAAAGGTCATCTTAGGCTTTGCATTTCCCATCTAGTCCACATTTAATCCAGGAGCTCATCAACTGACCTGCACTGCTCAAAGAACCCACAAGCTGGGGTTCTAACTCTGCATTGCCCTACCCAATCCATCCTGTGTGACTCCTAGACCAATTAGACAAAAGGAGTGAAGGGCCTGGCCGGTGTTACTCAGTGGTTGAGCATCGATCCATGAACCAGGAGGTCACGGTTCAATTCCCTATCAGGGCACATGTCCGGCTTTGAGGCTCAATAGCCAGTAGGGGGCATGCAGGAAGCAGCAGATCAGTGATTCTCTCTCATCATTGATGTTTCTATCCCTCTTTCCCTCTCTCTTCTTCTCTCTGAAATCAATAAAAACATTTTTTTTAAAAAAAAAAGGGGGGGAGTGAAGGACAGGAACCCATGGCCATTCATTCATTGCCATCTAAAACCCACTGACATCCAATGGTGACTTAACGCCAATGCCCCTAGGTTCACCTCAAGCTCACGCCTTTATTTTTAATGATCCCTGTCTTGGACCTGCCTCTCTGCCCATCCCCATCTGATCCATGCTTTAGTCCTGCTAACATTCCACTCCTCCAAGAATCTTCTTCTTGCCACATTGATGAGTAAAAACAACATCAGCTTTAATGTCAGACACAGGTTTAAATACCAGCCATGTGTCTATGGACAAGTTACTTCTCTAAGCTTTACCTTTCTTAACTGTAAAATGGGCATAGCAACATCTCTACTGCAGGGTTGCTGAAAAAGAACTAAGGGTGTGTGAAACCACAGAGGATAGTGCTACGTCTACAGGAAGTGCTCAACAAATTATTTCCCCTCGCTGCCCGAGTTGACCTCTCTCTTTCCTCCGAACCCTCACTGCATTTGGTTAGTGCACAGTCAAAAGCCTGTGCTTTCTAATTGTGTCATGGCTGTTGCTATTTTCTCCTCAATTTAATTCCAACATCCTTGAGAGCAAAGATGCATTTCATACTTTATTATGCATCCCCAACACTTAGCACTATGGCATCTGAAGCACTTTCACATATACTACTTCATTTAATTCCTACAATAACCTACGAATTAGAGCAAATACTATTATTCACATTTGGCACTTGATAAAACAGGTCCAACTTGTCCATAGTCTGAGAGCCAGTAGAAGAAACAGGACCAAGGTTTCCAGATTGTTATAGAAAACTTTGAAGCTGATTACCCAAAAGAAACCAGCTCTCCCTCTCTGAGACGTGCCCACCCCACTCCACTCCATTTCTCATTCACACTGGTAGGCCATGGCAGCCATGACTGCACCACATGGCGCTGCTCTGTCTGGCCACAGCTGATTGGCTGGCTCAGGAGTGGACACCTGACCTAACCTGGACAGAGCAGATTCTAGTTCCAAAGAACTTGGAATTGGGAAACAGTTGGTTAGTACAGACAGCTGACCTAGGGACCTATCAGTGCAGGAGCCATGGCGGTCATGTGCACAGAGAGACAGAAAAGGCAGTTGTGCGAGAGAAGAATGAAGAAGTAGAGGCCAGAAGCTTCCAGAGTGCTTTACTCTTTCCCAGTCCCGAGTCCCTGCCACTCTCTTGCCCTTCCTGAGGTTTCAATCTTCATTGCTCAAAGTTGGAGCAATGTCCCAGCGGCTTTTCAAATACTTCCCATTTTTCCTTAAGCTGTTAAATGTCCTACAGGTTAAAGGCCCTCGACTGGGACGGACTCAGAGAGCTAGTTCCTCTATACCAGTTGTTTTCAAATAGTATCTCAAGAAATCCTGGGGGGCCCTGAGCCCTTTCAGGGGGTCTTCAATGTCAAAAATATTTTGTAATAGTACTAAACGTCTTTGAAAGTTTTCACTCTCATTCCCTCACGAGCGCACAGTGGAGTTTTAGGGGCCACAGGACATGATGATGTCATCACTGTGTGCTTGTGAATACTTACATTTAACACTTTTTCTGTTTTGATAAGTAGCACTAGTTATAACCTATCATAACAATAGCTTTTGGGGGGTCCCTCAGTTATTTTGAAGTAAAGAGCTCCTGAGACCCCCCAAAAAAAATTGAGAACCACTGCTGTATCTCATGGCTATTTAAAGTGTGGTCCTCAGACCAGCATCACTGACATCATCAGCCCGGAGCTTGTAGACCAGGCAAGATCTGAGTCCCCACCTCCAAGACCAACTGCATCATAATTTGCAGCTTAGTAAGATCACCACGTGCTTCGTATGCACATTAAAGTTTGAGAAGCACTGAACTATACCACAACGCATCAATAAATACTTACGATTGACTGATCTACTTATTGATAACATGGATGATTCCCAAGAATTTTATGAATTTTAAAGAGCTTAGATTTCTTGGAGTAAAGTTACCACGAACACAATCGTTAATTGTTGGGTCCGAATTTCTTTCACCCTTCAGGGAATCTCCATTGTCAGAACTCTGAGAGTTGTGTTCCCTTTGCTTGTACCCTCCTAATAATATCTAGCCTTTTATTAAGCACTCAAAATTGGCTGTGTATTTTAATGATGAAGAAACTGAAACTCAAGAGTACATATATAATTTGGTCAAGGTCACAGAGGTTACATAATTCACCCAAAGTCTAGTAAGTGGTGGGGCTGGGATTTGAACTCGTGGTTCAAACAAGACAGAGGCTGTTCTTGTAAACACTACCTTAGGCCTGGCTTCCTCAATGAGCACACAAAGCACCCGGGGTCTCAGTAAAGGACAGACTCTCATCCAGCCCATCCAGGGTGAAGTGTGGGGTCCTGCATTTCTCACAGTCTCCCAGGTGATACTGATGCTGAGATGCGTGGCCTTAAACTGCCTTTCAGTCCTGGCAACAGAAATGGGTGTGACTGTTCTCCAGGAGCCAACAGCAGCTTGAACACACACCACTGTAAAGGATGACTTAATTGAGCAGCTTCATACACTTATTCCAGCCCAGATAGGCCCGCCTACACTCATCAGGGTCCTCCCATGGCTCCCACCATGGGTGACAGGTCCACAATGTCACTGCACAATGTAGAGCCATTCAACTGCCCCTTGGCCATCATAAGGTGGGCCCGGTGCTGGTCTAGGCCCCATCCAGCCCCAGACCTTCTCTCAGCTCCCACAAGCTGAAATATGACTGTTCTTTCTTTTCCCATCATTCAATCATTCATTCAAAAAAGTGGTCACTGGCCACATGCTAGGGAGTGGGCCACACGTGACCCAGTGGAAAAACCACAGAGTATGTTCAAATCCTGACTTCTTCCTTACCAGGTTGGATGACCTTGAGCAAGTTACTTAACCTCTCTGGAAATAATAATATCAACTTATGGGAATGGAAGAAGCAGTGCTGGCCAATAGAAATACAATGCAAGCCACACATGTCATCTTAAGTTTTCCAGTAGACACATCTTACTTTTTTTTTTAAGTAAAAAGATAAATAGGTGCAATTAATTTTAGTAACACATCTTACGTAACCTAACATAGCCAACATATTATCATTTCAATATGGAATCAATAAAAAATATGAAGATGTTCTGCATTCTTTTCGTACTATGTCTTCGAAATCTGGTGTGTATTTTACACTTGCAGCACATTTCAGTTTGAACCAGCAACACTGTACGTGCTCACAGCCACAGTGGCCAGTGCAGTAGATGAAGTTTGAAGTGCTCAGTCATCACTCTCCATATGTCAGCTCGTACTGTAACGAGCCCATCACAGTGCCTGGTATACAGTAAGTACAGTAAGTAAAAATGGCTGCTGCTGCTGCTACTGCTAATGTTCCTACCAAAACCCCCTACTCATATTCAATGACTGTGAGTTCAATCACTGATGTTTAGGTTGGGAATGGAGAAGATGTGAAGACCATTCTCCTTCCACAATCGACTCGCCTAAGTTTGGTTTGGGCTGAGGGAAGGGAAGGAAGCAGGCTTGGAGGTGACACACAGCTCTTGAAGCTCACAAAAAGCCCAGAAATTCTACATTCTAAAGCCTCCTTCAATGATAGAATCAGATATTCATTATTTTGCAACCTCCAATGAACTCATGGGTCGAGGCAAGTTCATCAGTGGCTGCTAAAACAATTAGTTGAAAACTCAATGGAGAGCTTATAAAAAGAGATCAGGCTGACAACACCCAAATCCACCTATCAATCTTAGCACCACCAGAAGCAGAACACCTAGACAACATGCGCCTCCGGATGTGATGCAATAAGATGCATACATCACACCTGGGAAAGATTCTTGCCCCACAAAAACAATATTTATACACATAAATATCCTGAATCTAACCAACTCTCTAATCAAACCACCAGTTTTCAGGAAATAAAGAGGACAGAGGAATACTTTAAATAGTATCAGTCTGCCAACTCTAGAATGTGAGAAATTCCTCAAGATCAACCACCCAACTTCTTCAACAAATAAATGGCATGGAGAAAAAAACACATGTGTGTGGGAGGGTATAGCAGAGAAAAGTCATCAGAGACTTGATAGTAGATATTAGAATAGTTGTTCTTTTTATTGGGTATGATAGTGATATGTTAGAGATACACACTGAGGTATATGCAGGTTAAATGATAAAATGTCTAGGAATTGCTTTCAAATATTTCACACATAAAAAAAGAACATGCTAGCCCTGGCCAGTGTGCTCAGTGGTTACAGCGTCGGCCCACAGACCAAAGGGTTGAGGGTCTGATTCCCAGTCAGGGGCACATACCTGGATTGTCAGTTCAATGTCTCTCTCACATTGATGTTTCTCCCTTTCTCTCTCGCCCTCCTCCCCTCCCTTCTCCTCTCTCTAAAAAGCAATGGGGAAAAAATATCCTCGAATATTTTTTTTTTAATAAAATAAAACATGCAAACCAAGAAAAAGCGAAAGAAAAGAACAGATATAACAAGAGTGTCAAAAGGTGATCAGAGCTGAAGTGGGATGCCAACTATATAAGGTATGCAGCATCAAAGGGCTGCCCTCCCCAGACTTGGAAAGTCCGGCTTCTGTCAACAGGTTGGAGCGATTCAGCTCAGTGTGGGCACAGCTGGAGCACTTGTACCAGTGACCTATCATTATGATATAGCTTTCCAGGCCCCACCCCAGACCCCCCAAAGCAGAACTTCTGGGGTTGGATCCTGGGCACCTGCATTCTGAAAGGCTTTGTTGGTGGGTCTGCTGTATACTAAGAAACAGGAACCACATAGAGAGGTATGCCCATAATTTGCACTAGATCAAAAACCACGGAGCACCCAGGACTAGTCTCTTGTCCATAAAAAACATAGGGTCCTGCCTGCAGCCTGAAGGAGCCAGGCAGGACTAAGAGTTCATTCTCTAGATGAAGAGCAGCGGTTTACCCCCAGAGGTCCTCTGCACCTGGTTACTGTCAGATGCCCTTGCAGACCCATGAAGATGACCACAAAAGGCCCCTTTGGGCTTGAACATGAGCACTGTAGAGGACCAACCTGAATACCTGAGTTTGGTTTGGTTCCCTCCCCTTAAGAGCCATTCTCATATTTTTATTCCTTCTACCACAGAATTCCCCTCTGCCTTTCCCCAGGTTTCTGGTGTTTTCTTGCCACATCCCACCAGCCTCCAAAGCTCAGGCCATACCTGCTTGGGAACCACCAGCTGTGGGCCTACTCTCTGCCTAATGAAACACACCCCAAAGCAGGTGTCCTGACCCTGTCATTCTGGGGCAGCCCCAGCAAGGGGGGGGGCGGGGGGGGGCAGGAAACTTTCAGCCTTCTTTCATGGCCAAGAAACAGGGACAACTATCACATTTTCCTTGTTCTCTACCCTCCCTCTGTTCCCATCCCCAACCTCCCCTAAGCCTCAGCATCCCCCTCTCCTCGGGGCACCCTCTGCCTCTTCTCCCTCTTGCCAGCCCTAAACTCTTGCAGGCTATCACCCAGGATCAGAGCCCTCTGGTGTTTTCCGCTCCGGGAATTCTGCAAGGAAGACCATGGATGTGCTCTCTCGCTCTCTCTCTAGTTGCAGTGGGACCTCGCCTCCCTGATTTCTCTCATCCCTCCTGGCATCCCAGCTTACCCGTCCTCTGGTCCTGTTCTTTCGCTTGGGAATATCCTCTTCTAAATCCTCTTCTTCATTTCCTTCTTCTACATTTTCATCATTTTCCAAGACTCTCTGAAATGACAAGAAAATAAAGAGGAGTTAGGAAATAAAATGCAAAGGAGAAAACAAACCAAGGGTATTTGGGGGTGTCCCATTTTGCTGTGTTTTAACAAAGTGAAGGTGCTGCCCAGAGTGAGCGCTTGGCAATAGCAATTCTCTTTCAAACCCCTGGGCCCCTTCTAGTCAAATCCTCCTAGAACACCGAACTTTTACAACTCTTTCTGACAAAGATGTGTTTTTCAAAAGAAAATACTCTGCAAAAAAGACCCCAAATAGCCACAGCAATTCTGAGAAAGAAGAACAAAGTTGGAGGGATCACAATACCAGATATCAAGCTATACTACAAAGCCACTGTTCTCAAAACTGCCTGGTACTGGCACAAGAACAGACATATAGACCAATGGAACAGAACAGAGAACCCAGAAATAGACCCAAGCCATTATGATCAATTAATATTTGACAAAGGAGGCAAGAGCATACAATGGAGTCAAGACAGTCTCTTCAATAAATGGTGCTGGGAAAATTGGACAGATACATGCAAAAAAAAATGAACCTAGATCACCAACTTACACCACACACAAAAACAAACTCAAAATGGTTAAAGGACCTAAATGTAAGATGGGAAACCAAAAAAACCTTAGAAGACTCCATAGGCAGCAAAATCTCAGACATATGTCGTAGCAATATCTTTACTGATACAGCTCGTAGGGCAATGGAAACTAAGGAGAAAACAAACTAATGGAACTACATCAAAATAAAAAGCTTCTGCACAGCAAAAGAGACCATCAACAAAACAACAAGAAAGCCCACTGCATGGGAGAACATATTTGCCAATGCTCTTTCAGATAAGGGTTTAATCTCCAAAATTTACAGGGAACTCATACAACTTAACAAAGGAAAGATAAACAATCCAATCAAAAAATGGGCAGAGGGCCTAAGTAGACACTTTTCAAAAGAGGACATACAGAAGGCCAAGAAAAATATGAAAACATGCTCAAAGTCACTAATCATCTGAGAGATGCAAATCAAAACAACAATGAGGTACCATCTCACACCTGTCAGACTGGCTATCATCAACAAATCAACAACGGATAAGTGCTGGCAAGGATGTGAAGAAAAAAAGGAACCCTCGTGCACTGCTGGTGGGAATGCAGACTGGTGCAGTCACTGTGGAAAACAGTATGGAGCTTCCTCAAAAAATTAAAAATTGAACTCCCATTTGACGCAGTAATCCCACTTCTAGGAATATATCCCAAGAAGTTAGAAACACCAATCAGAAAGGATATATGCACCCCTATGTTCATAGCAGCACAATTTACAATAGCTAAGATTTGGAAACAGCCTAAATGCCCATCAGCAGATGAGTGGATTAAAAAACTGATACATCTACACAATGGAATACTATGCTGCTATAAAAAAGAAGGAACTTTCACCATTTGCAACAGCATGGATGGACCTGGAGAGCATTATGCTAAGCGAAATAAGCCAGTCAGAGAAAGATAAATATCACATGATCTCACTCATATGTGGGATATAATGATCAACATAATTTGATGAACAAAAAATAGATCCAGAGACAAGGTAGCACCGAACAGATCGTCCAACCTCATAGAGAAGGTAGGGGAGAGGCGGGGTTAGAGATCAACCAAAGAACTTGTATGCATGTATATTAGCATAACCAATGGACACAGACACTGGGGCGGTGGGGGCATGCCCTCAGGGGTGGGAGTGGGGGGGGTCAATCGGGGGTAAAGGAGACATATGCAATACTTTAAACAATAAAAAAAAGAAAGAAAATACTCTGGTAGGAGCAATTTTCTGTGTGGACCCAAGTTTGTCAAAACTTACTTTCTTTAAGTAATTATCCTTTTGTTTCTAAATATGAAAATAGGTTTCTCCTTTCCCTGCCACACTGGAACCCTGCCCTGTTTGATGAAAACAAGTAACTTCCTGTTCATCTGACCAGAATTTGACATTAATGTGCTGTTCTTAATCACCCATTGTTATTTTTTAAGAAAAAAAATGGATCTATTTTCATTGCAGAACATTACTTATCATGGGGCTTAAAGACAAAAATTTCACTCTCTCTCTCTAACAGCTCTGTCGTTATAGAAGAGAATCTCATTTCCATTTTGCAGAGAATAAACTAAGCCTAGCCCTGGTTGGATGGCTCCGTTGGTTGGAGCATCATTCTGTACACCAAAAGGTTGCAGGTTCGAATTCCAGTCAGGGCACATACTGAAGTTGTGTGTTTGATCCCTGGTTGGGGTGCTCACAGGAGGAAACCAATTAATGTTTCTCTCTCACATCAATATCTCTCTCTCCCCTCTCCCTCTCTCTAAAATCAATAGAAAACATGTCCTAGAGTGAGGAATAAAAATAAATAAATAAATAAACAAACAAACAAACTGAAAACAGATTTGACTGCTCAATACCATACAGAAAATCCATGACCAAAGCAAGGTCAGCTTCATCAGCTCAGAGTTCCCATCTGTTTCTCAGCCCTGTGTCTGAAGTTCCCAAGGTGCACTGTGGCATACCCTTCCTGCAGGGAACCTGAGCACTTCATTCCGTTTGAGGGAGGTGTGGGGAGGTTTATATCTCTAGGTATAAGGGAAAGATAAGAGATTGTGGCAGAGGACCCAGCCCCCGGAGTGCGAGTGGGATAAGGGGGAAGAGCATGGAGCTCACTGGACTCCATGACAGGGACCCTGGGGTTCCTTTATGGGCTCACAGTGTGACCTAGGGTGAGTCATCCTCTCCTCATGCGTTTTCCTAATTATAAACCAGAAATTCACTCACTCATTCAACCAACAAGCATTTGTCTAGTGCTGACTACATAGCAGGTGCTCTGCTAGACAAGCCAGAAAGCGGCTACAGTCCTGGCTCCACATGGATTTTGAAAGTCTAGTGAAGGGAGGACAGATTTAAACAACATATATAACCATGTAATTGCAACTTCTATAAAGAACAGTGACAAGCACGTTCCAGCGGCTACTAGAGGGTGTTAGAAGGAAAGCTAACTAATCTGAGGGTCAGGTAGGACTTCCCTGGGAAAGTGACCTAAGCAAGTTGAGCTATAAAGAAAAGAAAGACTAGCGTTGGAATGAGATAGGGAGAAGGGAGAGAGGGGAGTATTCCAGGCAGCGGAACAGCATGAGCAAACCCCCTGAGGCAGGGAAACATGACTTGTCCAGGGAGCAGAAAAGAGGCCCATGTGACTGACCAGAATTCAGTGGCTCAGGAAGAGACTGGCATAAGATGAGGCTCCCAAAGTGGTGGCCACCGTGTTATAAAGGATAACAAACAGCATCCGCTCTGTGGTGACGGTGCGACAATCTCACAGCTATGAAAAGGCTTAAAAAGCAGCACCTACCACACCAACATCTGGTATCACCATCATTGTCCAAGTGACCTCCTGGACAATGCCTTTGGCCTGCCCTCCAAGCAGGAAGCCCAGGAATTAAGTCACCAGTGACCTTCTCCCACTGCCTCCTTGTCAGAGAATTCCCTTCCAATCACAGGGGTCAGGATACTGCAAATTACCAAACCCTCCCAAAGAACTCAAAACCAGTCTAGTCAATTCTTCTCTGGCTTCTCTGCTCGGTTTACCCAGGAAGTCATCAGCTGACAGCACTGAGGAGTCTCTGGGCCAACCTTAGCCATCTAACTGAGGAGCATCGTCTGCTGGACATGACCTCTGGCCTGAGCTAGGCGACGCTGGTGCAGGCCCAGAGCCAGCCCCCTAGCCTCCCTGCATCTTAGCTTTTGAACGGAAAGTGGGAATATGAGCGAAAGCCAAGCAAGACAAGGACTAGTAAAACGCTCTGCAGCCTTCAGTAAAAAGATGTAGTTATTCCGACTGTTCTTACTGTTCATACAGCCATCTTGGAAACTTTCTGAGCCTTCAAGTCATTTAATCATTGTAAGTTCTGAGTGCCTCGAATTTAAAGGTCATTGCCTCTAGCACCTAAGCACAATTCTGACTCCTCTCATTTTTTATTATGAAGATATTTATTATCTGTGACATGGATTCTAGGCTGGAAAGTGAAAGACTGGTGAAGACAGCTGACTAGCCTCCAGAAGTGCTACGCGGCCTCAATGTCCAGCAGTAAACTGACTTCTCCCCAGGCTCCATCCCTCCCTCTTCCCATCAGCTTCCTTCCCTGTGTCTCTAGAACCTCCTGTGTGTGAGCCAGGCCTCAGATGTGACAGCACCCGCCCTGTGTGTTTGCATTTCCTGCACCAAGGCCCTGATACCAGAAGCCACTCTCCATAACTCGGGAGGAGGCAAGAGTTCCTAACAAACAAAGGCCATATTCAGGGTGAGGGAGGAAGAGGGGTATCCTGCATTGGGAGTGAAGGGCAGCGGTGTCCAACTAGAGATGCAGCTGATCTCCCCGTCCAAGGACATTATCTGGGAAATGAACACATTTCAAAATAACTTTCTCCCTGTTACTCTAAACCAGTGGTTCTCAACCTTCCTAATGCCGCGACCCTTTAATACAGTTCCTCATGTTGTGGTGACCCCTAATTTCATTGTTACAAATTGAACATAATTAAAGCATAGTGATTAATCACAAAAACAATATGTAATTATATATGTGTTTTCCGATGGTCTTAGGCGACCCCTATGAAAGGGTCGTTCGACCCCCAAAGGGGTAGCGACCCACAGGTTGAGAACCATTGCTCTAAACAGTCTTTACAGTGATGATCACAATGATATGTGATTGTGTTTTTTAGAGAAGAAATTCTTAAAGATTCCATTATCAGCCCTGGCCATTGTGGCTCAGCAGATAGAATATTAGCTCACAGACCGCAGTTTCTCAGGTTCGATTCCCAGTCAAGGACATATACCTGGGTTGCAGGTTCGATCCCCGGGCGGGGGGCACACAAGGGAGACAACCAATCGATCTCTCTCTCTCTCTCTCTCTCTCTCTCTTTCTCTCCCCCTCTACCCTTCAACTCTCTAAAAATCAATGAAAAAAGTATCTTCGGGTAAGGATTAACAAAAAAATTAAAAAGTAAATATTCCATTATCTCTGGTGTGGAACACTGTAGAAATCTCCTGACTTCCCTCCTTCCAATGTTGGCCCTACAGGCAGTCTCCCCTCCATGTGGGGGCAGGAGGGATCTTAATGAAACACAAATTCATCGCCCTGATTGAAATCCTCCATATGACTTCCTTTTTCATTTCTCATGAAATCAAGAGCCTCTTCTCCTATGTCCTGGGAGGCTAGAGTGGTCCGGCCCACTCACCCCTCCAATGCCATTCGAGGCCTTTGTCTCCCTGGCACTGTGCTCCCGCCACACAGGCCCTCTGTTCTTTCAACACCAGCTGAGATCTACCTGTGCCTTCACCCAAACTGTTCCTCTGCCCAGAAAGCTCTTGCCTAAAACCCTCATTTTGCTGGCTCCTTCCCATCCCTTAGGACTGAGGTTAAATGCCCATCTCCCTTACAACACTCCCTAAAATGTTTGTTCTCTTACAACTGCATCTTCATATTCTGTTCTTTTCATAGCATTGGTCCTGAAATGCAACTATTCTATTGGTTTACTTGCTTTCTGTCTGCATGTCACACCAGAATATAAGGTCTCTCATGGTGGTTTATCTCTTTCCCTGGAACCTAGCACAGTGCCTGCTCAGAGGAGGCACTCAATAAACTTTGGTTGAATGAATGAATGAAAAATACTAACAAAACTGTCCCTAAGCCAATAAAAACATGTACATTTACTTGGCTTATGGTCCTGGTTTAGGCTTCTAGCACAGTAGATGGTAGCCCAATGCTCTGTACACAGTCGGCATTTGGTTTACATTAGGGATGATGGTGATAATGATGTTGAGTCCACGGTAACATCCCATAGGTTAGCCCAGTGCTGCCTGAGAACTCAAACCCACCGCCAGCTGTAAAGGGCAAGGGCCACAGACACTAGCAGCGGTTCTCAGCCTGTGGGTCGCGAACAATGAAAATACATCCTGCATATCAGATATTTACATTACGATTCATAACAGTAGCAGAATTACAGTTATGAAGTAGCAACAAAAATAATTTTATGGTTGGGGGTCACCACAACATGAGGAACTGTATTAAAGGGTCGCGGCATTAGGAAGGTTGAGAACCACTGCCCTAGAGCATCAAGGCTTCTGGGCAATGGTTCTGCCCCACTCACTGATTCAGGCACATTACACCAAATGAGCAAAAAATACTCGAATGGGCAATACAGATGTGACAGATGTTGACTTCAAAGATCTGAAAGTCCAAAAATGGAGGGTAATACATGAATAGCAAAAACAAACAAAAACAAAAACACAGTACTAGATACCCTAAATGCCAGAGGCAAGAAGAGACTGTCCAGCTGTGGGGAGATGACGAAAGGCTTCGTGGGGAAGGTGGCATTGGAGCCGAGCCTAAACGATGGGTGGGACTGGTGCACGTGGAGAAGGACGAAAGGCACAGCGGATAAAGGACACAGCATGACCCCAGGCACAGAGGGAAGAAGGCCGAAGAACAGAGGGAGGACAGGCGTAGTGGGAAATAAGGCTGCAATCCAGGTTTGGAGCAGAGAGAAAAGGCCCCGGAAGGACACACTCGTCCTTCTGGGTTTATTTAGTAGGAAACAAAAGTGTTTTCACTGTTTTTCAGCAACGGGGTGGCACAAGAGGAACTGTTTCAGGATGAAAGATGGGCTAAGAACGCAGGCCGTGCTGGAGAGGGAAAGGACTGGGGATGGGACTCGGAGGGATCTGTCCACTCAGGCGCCACTCATTAAATATTTAGTGTGTGCCCGGCACTGTCTGGGTGTTGAGATATATTATGAGCAAGACAGACAAAGACTCCTGCTCTTGAGGAGTTGACATTCTTTTGGAGGAAAACAGAAAACAAACAAAGCACTAGACAGTGGTAAGAGCTGTGGGGGGAAGGAAAAGAAGAGCAGAATAGGAGAATTCGGGGAGTGCTGGGGAGGGGCGCAGGGCACAGGACGTGGTATTCCATACGGGGGTCAGGGGTCAGGCTACATGCACCTCAGAGAAAAGGGGAGATGGAAGCAAACACTTGAGGAAGGTGAGGGAGAGAGACACAGCTGGGGAAAGGACTCTCCAGCAG